GCAATACTTCCCTATACGAACCAAGGTGCTCTACTGCTACTTGACTTTCAAATCTTGTTTCCACAATGCCACCAATTTTTGAGTTGGTTTCATCATTGTGGAGTTTGTGCTCACTGCCAAATGTCGGTGGCCATTTTATTTTATTATAAGTAGTCGAGTATAATATCGTAAAAAATTGCCAATTTCAAAATTGCCGCGTAAATGAAGCAGAGGACAATGCTTAATTCGGGATTTATTCAAATAGATAAATAATAAAGTTCCATATTATTATTGTTATTACTATATTCTGTTGACACAATTATGAAATAAAATAATATTATATCACTTGTATATTTAAAAAAAAAACAAAAACTTACACGGAAATTAGGCAGAGAACACAACTCGAGAAAGTCCCACATTAACTTATGACTTTCGCATAAAAGTTACTTACATTTTTTAATATTTAGTATAATTTTTTCACTAACGGTTAAGGATAACATAGCGACAAACCCTGCATGTCTAAGACGGTTCACAACCCTTGGAAAACATGTGGAGTCCCCAACCAGCTTGGCAGAAACCATCTCACCCAGTGACGAGACCAGTGTACAACAATGGGACGCACTGGTTTGATAATGATGAATGAAAAGTACTCTGAATACTTGTAGGACCGTAAGCAACATAATTTTACTGGTGTTTCTTAAAAATGTGGTTGGCATAATTATAATAAATTGTCATAATTAAAAGTACTATCGTGCATTAAGCTTATGATGAGTTTTATGCACAACAATTAATAAATGCTAAGACTGCATTTATTAATTGCACAACATTTTTTGGATAGAATTTTTGTTATTCAACTTACCCAGTTCGAGCGAAGTTCATATACCGTCCAATTAGTGAATCGCTAACCTGCGTATCATTTGAGTCCAAATGAATATCGAGTAGGTACTTAAGTATCTCGCCGTGACGAACTCCAGTTAGAGGAATCTCAGGAAACGGCCAATAAGACTCGTTGCCTCCTCTGTAAAAGAATTCCATTAGCCACGTGTCTGACGACATGGACCTCATTCCAGCTCCTCTAATAACAGACATCACAGCCAACATATCCCCGTGATACTCGAGGTAGTTCTGAATTAATTGCATATTAATCGTTCTGTTGCCAAAATAGAACGTACGAGTAGCATTTTCAAGGTCATCACTGAAAATCAAATCTATGGGAACGAATTTATTAAATTCGTTGTCCATTAGCTGCAGCCAATTTCCATTGACAGCCTTATCCGTGCGTACTGATCCTTCCCTATTAACGTAACCTCCTATATATGGTACTCTACTATAGGTACCTTGCCTCAGTAAATTGAGGGGTGCATCAGTAAGGAATCTATTATCTGGATCAAGGTTTTCATTTTCAATGCAAGGAGCGAACTGAGGTACATTTGGTGCGTTGCTTGTATTGTGTACGATAGGGTAAATAAGTTCTCTTATTTTAGCCGAAATCAGGGTTTGGACTAATATTCGTCTATCATTGTCTCGGTACCCAAGTTGTGCGCCAAGTTTGAAAGCTGAGGCGACAGGTGAGTACGATACAGCCCATGGAGCTATCGCAGATCCGCTCTGAGCTATAACCTTATGCATCAAACCTTCTGCTAACGGGGACATAGTTACCAAGTCAACCATAGCCGCACCCGAACCGTGGCCAAATAGCAGTACGTTGTTAGAATCTCCGCCAAAGGCTTTTATGTTGTTTTTAATCCATTTAAGACCCTGAATAACGTCTTTCAAGCCAGCATTGCCTGGTGCCTCTTCTATCCCTAAACACAAAAACCCAAGAACCGATAATCGATAATTCATGGCGACAACTGTGAATTTTTCTTGCACTAATCTTCTGAACGAATGTTCTAGAGGATTGGAAGTCATGTATTCTTCTCCGATGAGCCACACTAGCACTGGGTTGTCATTTGTGTCGTTAGGTGTGAAAATGCTAAGTCGAAGGCAGTCTTCAGTCCCGATGATGTTTTCTGGGTTCTCGGATGATGGTTGTGGACATAACACGTCTCTGTCTATCGCGTTGAATACTCCTTGGTATGATGGTGGTGGATTAGGAGCCTGGAATAGATGAACACTAACGTTAGTAAAGTAAAAGTTATTTTCACAATGTAACACTTAGTAAATTTTTACTATGCAATTATAATGACATTGGATTGCAGCTCAGAATTAACCTATAATATGTATTATAGGTTATGGTTCTTAGGATTACTGTTAGGGCAACTCTTTCTTATTAAAAACTTAACAAATAAACAAGTGCAAACAGCGTCTTTAATAATCAAACAAACCAAATAATGTGAATATAAATAATGCAAACAATTATTTTCTTCATCTAGTAAAATTGTCAAAATTGCAATAGTATCGGTTGTCAGTTCACAGTCGATGTGTATGGCATTTATTAAGATTGTTTCTAATTATTTAATACAAAGATTTCCTTAATTTAATACTATTGCTAATTGCGGATAAATTTTCATTACCTTAAAGCGATTTACACCACTAGTGTCAGCCCCATAGCGTATGCCATAGAAAGCGTAATAATCTCCATCGTCTTCCAAAGCACCTTGCACCTGTCCTTCGGTTGTTTCTACAACTTCAAAAACACAATCAGCCGTTGATTTGATCAACATCACACCAAGTAAAATATGGAGAAACATTTTTCATTTGACGTTCTCAACTAATTGTACCGCTATAGACATCATTTCTCGTTTAACCTAGGCAATAACTGAATATAAAGAACACAAGGGTCAATCACACCTCGATGGCTTTGTGCAATTTACTACGCGCTTGCTTGCTTCAAATAATTTCAATATACTAATCTAATCTCTTGTTTTCATTTTGTCATAATTTATAAATTAATTCCTTATCATGTTTTTGTCACGAAAGAAAAGTTGCATGAGTGAAGATTATCTATTAATATTAATATAAAAATCGAAGATAAAGAAAAATCCCTTCGTCTGACAAGAATTGAACCTGCCTCTACATGCTAAACTGCCCACCTGCGTACATCAACGTCCTCAAATCTTGTGACAGAAAATTGTGCTCATCATTCGAAGTTAAAAATTACTGTAAAACTGATTGCTTGGCTTCACTTACTATTTTGTTTTTGTTATTTTTTTTTATAAATTATTTGCATGGTAGTAGCACAGTGAACTTATTATTATAAAACGTTACTGTCTAGTTTATAAGGAATTAGTTATTAATTGTATACATATACATATTATTTTTAATGTCGCAAACAGTTTTATGACACAGGCAACATGATAAGAAAACATCGATATTCTATAAAAATTGATATTTGACATATTATTAAAGTCTAAGAGCTGTGTAACCACATACGGGGACTTTTAACAGCGATGCAAACGCGATACAAACGCGATACAAACGCGACACAAACGCGATGCAAACGCGATACACGTTTTAAATTAATTAACTAATTTATTTATTGTGTATTTAATGTATTTATAATATATTTAATTAAGATAATATACAGATAAGGTAAAAAGGACAATAAAAGCTTAACTACTAGAAAGTAAAACAAGGATTTTTAAATTATATGAATAAAGTTGGGACCCCGCAGCATGCCCAAGATGCTGGCAGCGTTCCCCCTTTGTATTGCTATGTTAATGCGTTGGGCAAGGTAGCTGCCGGCCGGCCCTTGGGTTTCCCAGACAGTTAATTAATTTTTTCGATAAAATCTTGTACAGACAAAGGGCACTGGGACCACACGGGCCAAGGGTTTCGACTCCAAAGGCTGTAAATAGGTATTCTCAGCTGCGGAGCCAGCCCTCTTGCTGGTGTACTGGAGATGGGATGGAGCAAGTGTATCGTCACATGTGGCGTCCCACACCAGTGCCCGGCCCATACTCCAAGGGACGAGAGTCATTCCGTCCGGGCGTTTGTCATCTGTTCAAGACCGTGGTGACCCAGAGCACTTACGTCTTTGCCGCAAGGACACCGATAAGGGGCAAACTGGGACACCACAGTTTTATAGTGTGTATGTATATATATTTCAAACATTCTGCCTCGTATTTTATTAAGTATTTGTCCTAACGTCCACATCTCCCTTCTATCAGTAAACCATTTTACCCAGATATTTTCCCCCACATTAAAATTTCTACTTTTATTATGAACACTATTTTCCACGTTGCAGTTTCCTTCGCAATGAACCTGAGGCAAAATAAGGTTCAATTGTGATCTCAATTTGCGACCCATCGTAAGAGACGCAGGTGTCAGACCTGTTGAACAATGTGGAGTGTTGCGGTATTCAAACAGAAATCCCAATAACTTAGCATGGACCTCAACCTGTGATCCACCGGTTTCTACTATACATTTTATCATTTTCTTAGAAGTTCGGACGGCATTTTCAGCGAGTCCATCACTGCTCGGATGATACACGTGGGACGTGACATATCGAATACCGTTCATTGAGCATAATTTTTAACTGCCTCCGTGGCAGAACGGTTACCATGCCGGACTGCCACGCAGAGGTCCCAGGTTCGATTCCCGGGCCGGGAGAAATGTTTGTATGGCTTACATTTATTTCTCTCGTGAGTTTGGGTGTAATTTGTGGTTGTCTATGTGTGTGTCCATGGCACCCGCGACACAGGGTTTCCGTAGTGCGGGGCTATGTTGAGTGTGTGCGTTATACTTTATACTTAATTGTATAAACTCAGCAGCATTTATTTTTACGTCATTATCTGACACAATAACATGCGGTATACCATATCTAGAAAATAATTCTTTTAACTTCAAGATCAGTGCTCGAGTGGTGGTGCCATTATTCACAAACAAACAGTCCAACCATTTACTATAAGCATCAGTAACAATCAAGTACACCTTCTGATAAATAGACATGTAATCGATATGTAGCCGATGCCAGGGCGCGGGAGGGCGCGGGCGCAGCGGCCGGAGGCGCGGGGCGCACGGCCACACACGCGGTACAAGAACCTACCCATCGCTCGATGTCGGCATCGATTTTTGGCCACCACATCTTACTTCGTGCAACGCTTTTAGTTTTTACTATGCCTAAATTACCTGAATGTAAATCTTGGAGCAACTGACTTCGAAATACGGTCGGTACAACTAAACGATGACCTCGAAAAATGCAACCATGATCAATTTCCAGATCCGCTTTACACTGGAAATAAGGCGAGACTGAAGGACAATTTATTTTCCGAGGCCACCCCTTATTCATGTAATCACTTTTTTTTTAAATCGAATCATTTTCTGTAGCCTCCCTTTTTTTTAATGTTACGGGAGCTACATTCGCGTCTAAAAGTTTCAAAAAAGACATGTCATCTTCTCCAGAGTTGTCCAAATCGGACACTGGTGCGCGAGAATAATAATCTGCCACTAAATTATCCGCGCTGCTAATGCACTGCACGTCATAATTATACGCAGACAAAATAATAACGTATCGCTGCAAACGCGACGCAGCCATTACCGATATTCCGTTTTCCTTCTTAAAAATTGATAACAGGGGTCGATGGCCTGTTTTCAAAATAAAAGGTTCCTGCCTACCATAATAGACATTGGTGAAACCTTTTTACTCCAAGTATAATTGCGGTGACATCTTTTTGTATCTGGCTATAGTTACGTTCGTGGCGTGAAGTGAACGCGAACCGAACTGTTATACATAACTCCTGGCAGCTATTATGCTGAACCCAGACGCTGCTGCATCAGCAGCCGTCTTCCCCCCTGAGATCGCTCCGTCGCGATCTCAGTCTGTTTCCTATCTCGATCGGGTGCGGTTGCTTTGGGGTCCTTACCTTTGTGCTACAATTATTTTACAGTTCGTTAAATCATTTTCTTTTTTAAAAAGGCTTTCCTTGAGGACCCCATAATATTTGGTGGCAGCGGTGGGATGCGAAAATCCCCAGTGCATATATAACTACATTATAAACAATTAAAAACAGACTCCGCTAGTGCCGTGCCCAAAAAGACAAAAACATTAATACTACAGTGTTCTGAACATCCAGTGTGTGTTCTAAAAATCATCATCAATACTTCATCATCGCGCATCGCGTCAAAACTACAAACGGTTGTCTACAAAATCAAAGTACATACAACACATCGAACTACTCGTCGGGACGCCGCATCGTTATCTCTCCGGAATGCAGCTCCATCATTTCGCGGAACCCTCGACACTTTCGATTATCGCTCTATCATTAATGTAAGTGTTTGTCTTGGTCATTGTTTATTTTACGTTTGTGAATTATCCATATTCAATATCCTAATATTATAACTTATTGGCGGAAACTTTTGTTATTAACCTATCGACGTCAAATGATGCCAGACATGTATCTAAATGTTCTATTGAAGTTTATCAAGCCATATGATGGTAAACGAGAAACATTGAATTCATTTATTTTAAATTGTAATAATGCCCTTGAACTTGCATCTGAAACCCAAAAAGTGATACTTTTTAAATACATCCTATGCCAACTGCAAGGCAGAGCAGAGTCTGCTTGTTCCATTAAAGAGTTTAGCAACTGGGATCAACTTAAAGATTTTCTTAAAACCCAGTTCAGTGAGCGTAAACACTACCCTCACTTATTAACCGACCTGCAAGAAAGCAGACAGGGTCCAAACGAAAATGTCACACAATATTCACTCAAAGTAGAGACTTGTTTATCACAACTGTTAACTGAAATATCCTTATCTATTACCAAACAAAAGGAGCTATCGGGCCGAACGGCAGCCATGGAGGACTTGGCCCTCCACCACTTTCTAATGGGGCTTCACCCCAGATTATCTAATATTATTAGGTCTCGTGCACCTAAGACCCTAAACGAGGCCATCAACCTCGCTGTGTCCGAGGAGAGAATTCAATTATCGCTATACAAAATGACAAATTCTATGGAACCTAAATCTAATAACGGTAACAATTCAGGCAAACGTTTCCCGCCATCAAAACCAAACAATTTTCAACAACCACAGTCGTACAACAATACACAAAATCCTACCGGGTTATTCTGCAAGTATTGCAAGAACCCTGGACATGATATTAAAGATTGTAAAAAACGGGAATACTATAATAGTAGGAACCGTGACCAACAGCAATTCCGCGGGTATTCAGGTCAGGCTTTTCCCAGGTCATCGCCTAGGCGTGTCAATTATGTCAACAATCATGTCCAGGAGGTCCAAAACGTCCAAGAAGAAGAAGAAGAAACCAGCTATGACACGGTAGATTATTTAAACGAATAAAGGGCTCGCGCCGGTGTCTCGCGAGACCCAAGTCACCCTCCGTATCCTCTCTATTTAACAACGACACCAAAACTCTAATAAAAACTCGTCATCTCACATCCAAGAGCCACACGGGTAACCAGCCCCAAACGAGCGCTCATCCTCTCGCGTTCAAGAGTCACACGGGTAACCAGCCCCAAACGAGCACTCATCCTCTCGCGTTCAAGAGTCACACGGGTAACCAGCCCCAAAGGAGCACTCACCCTCTCGCGTTCAAGAGTCACACGGGTAACCAGCCCCAAACGAGCATTCATCCTCTCGCGTTCAAGAGTCACACGGGTAACCAGCCCCAAACGAGCACTCATCCTCTCGCGTTCAAGAGTCACACGGGTAACCAGCCCCAAACGAGCACTCACCCTCTCGCGTTCAAGAGTCACACGGGTAAGCAGCCCCAAACGAGCACTCATCCTCTCGCGTTCAAGAGTCACACGGGTAACCAGCCCCAAACGAGCACTCATCCTCTCGCGTTCAAGAGTCACACGGGTAACCAGCCCCAAACGAGCACTCATCATCTA